AAAAAAAAAAAAAAAAGACTTGCCTCCACTTAGAAGTAGCTTCTGGAATCCCCTCCTTCTCCCCCAGGCCTGTGTCTGAGCTCAACCCCCTCCGTCCCCCAGCAGCACCTGCACTCTCCTCCGTTATATCTCATAGCAGACCACACGGACAGCCAACTTCCACTGCCTCGCCTCCTTAGAATATAATCTAATGCGGAAAAGGGGCCTTGCGTTCACCTCTGTAATACCTGTGCCTGACGCACTGCCCTAGCAGACAGAAATAAGGATGGCAGCTAACGCTTACTGCGCATGTCCTGTGCTTTCAAGGCTTAATGAGGTTCAGCAGCTAATAGCTCAAGGTCATACGGCCAATAAGAGGCCACGGTTTGAATCATGACATTAAACAAATGTCTCTTGACTCGATGAGTTGCCCCAGACAGTGAGGGGTGTGGCTGCCTCTGTTAGATCATTCCAGGAAGGCTTAGACCCCTTGGCTTTTAATTTTAGGATGTGGGACATGGTGGTGATTTGTCTTCCGTACACTATGGTTCCCCCCAACACTCAGTCCTCTCCAGAGATGTCTAGTTCCTTCTTGGCTGGGAGAGCCACATTCTCAGAGAAGTGACTCCTGGAACTCTCTACTAACAAGTGGCAAGAAGACTCCGTGGTTGTATTTATCAGCATCCAGAGGGAGCCATTTGTTGGGAGTTGGGGGAGACTTATAGGTGTGGCCTGAGAACTGACACTGTCCCTAGAGGGCCAAGGGGGGGCCACCATGTGACCTGTGGGCCCACCATGGCTATGGTGATTTCTGGGGCTCCTTAGGAGGCTCCGAAAGTGTCTTCCACTTGGGTATTTATTTTTAGCAGCAAGGAGGTAGCCAGGGGCAATGGCTGTCCCATTTTACTGAGTGCCCGGCCTTTCCATCTTGGGAACCCTGCAGCCGACCGCCCGTGCTCCTGACTCCCCCATCCCTTGCCTCAACCCCCCCTCTTTGCCTCCTTCTAATTCAGAAGCAGAATGTGACCATCATGGACCACCACTCAGCTGCAGAGTCCTTCATGAAGTACATGCAGAACGAGTACCGCTCCCGAGGGGGCTGCCCGGCTGACTGGATTTGGCTGGTCCCCCCGATTTCTGGGAGCATCACTCCTGTGTTCCACCAGGAGATGTTAAACTATGTCCTGTCCCCTTTCTACTACTACCAGGTAAGGCAGGGTTTTCCTCTCCTGTCTGTCTTGGGAGCTCAGGGGTAGAGAGAGTGTGTCTGTAGGTGTGTGCGCGTGCATGAGCATGCGTGTGCACAAATGCACGCATGTGTATGCTCACTCGTGCAGGACCCACGGGGAAGGGTCAGGGACACAGAGCCCTCTGCTTTTCAGGCTGTAGTCACAGATGCTGAGCAGCGTTTGTTCCCACAGAGAGTGGGACTTCAGGAAAGACCTTTTATTCTACCTTCAGGGGCCCATTGCTTTGCTGGGGCTTACACTTCTGAGGCTGACCACCATTACCCCCACCTGTAGAGAGTCAGAGCCCATCATGGTGAAGAGCTTGGCTCCCGGGTCAGAGACGCCTGTAGGCAACTCTGCCACTTCCTAGCTGTAGGATCTTGGGTGGGTCTTTTCACCCACGTGAGCCCTGCTGTTCTCATCTCTAAAAGCGATGAGCATCATTAGCTCCACGCCAGGAGGATCCCACAAACTGGTGGATGCCCAACCTAGAACGCGCTCTATCACCGTTACCTGTTGAAACCAGTTCATTTTTTGTCAAAAAAGGACTTTGGTTTGATTTGGGGAAGGGCTTCCTCACTTTGAGATGCTAAGTAGCAGATCAGGGTGACTGTTTGCCGGGGACAGTTTGTAGCTGCTGTGGTAGCACTTCCCTTACCTCTCAGAGGAGGAACCCGGTTTGGACTCTACATCATATGACCTGCCTAGTAATTAGACACTAAAACTGGAAGCAAAGTGGGGCCTCTTCCTTCTGGGGGGACACTAATGGAGAATAAGCCAGCAGATCCCCCGGTGTGGGCAGGCTCTAAGCTGGCCACTGGGGCTGTAGCTCCGAGGGAGACAGAGCCCCAGTCCTCCCCAGTGGGGCATTCAGGGAGGGCACGAAGGGTCCTCTATCTTCCTCGCATCCCCACACCAGAGCCGAGCCAGGGCCCACCTGCCCTCATATACGTGTGCCTTCCTGTCTGAAGGTGGAGGCCTGGAAAACCCACACCTGGCAGGACGAGAAGCGGAGACCCCGGAGAAGAAAGATTCCGTTCAAAGTCTTGGTTAAGTAAGTGGGAGCGGCTGGTGCTGAGGCCTGAACGTCAGCCCTTCCTTCCAGGCGCTGCCCTTCTCGGCCTCGACGGGCCGGGAACCAAGAGACATGGAGATCTTTATGGAGGATGGTTCACAGGGGTCCAGATGCCAAGGGGGATCACCTGCCGCCATTGGCCCAACCTTCCCTGTCCTCCATTCTCCCCAGGGGCTGAGTAGTGGGTTGAGCGGGTGAAGGGAGGCGAAGGGCCGCGGGTCAGGGTCAGTAGCTGGTAAGAAACGTGCATTCCTTTCCCTCATCCTGCCACACTTTAAACACTGTCCCTCTCCTGTTCTCCTGGGGCCCCCATGTTCCTCTGGAAGGCTGAGTCAGCACAGTGTCTGTCTGTCTGTCCACACAGAGCTGTGCTCTTCGCCTCCATGCTGATGCGCAGGACCATGGCGTCCCGAGTCAGGGCCACAATCCTCTTTGCGACGGAGACAGGAAAGTCTGAAATGCTGGCCCGGGACCTGGGGGCCTTGTTCAGCTGTGCCTTCAACCCCAAGGTAGCCGGCTCAGCTGGACATGGGCCTTTTTTCTCTGCCTGCGTACAGACAAGTTGGCAAAAGTTAAAATGGTTGCTCTGCTCCTGAATGTCCCAGAGCCTTGGATGTGCTGATCGTACATTGTAAATTTGTGACAGAAGGATAGGTGTGTGTCCAGGGATTCCCAAATTTACATAGCACACAACTTTTCCATGGTGTTCCAGGGAACACAGTTTGAGAAATGCTCTCCTAATCCAAGTCGCAACATCCGTGAGCTCCTGTAGATGGATTTTATTCCTATTTACTCAACACCTTCCCTACAGGGCACAGTGCTAAACGTGAAGGGGGCAAAGGATGAATAGGAAATAAAACAGAACCCCAGAGGGTGACTCATTCATTCTGTCAGTGTTGGACTTTATCCTTCTTGGAGACCTCCCACATCACGTGGGCGTGCGTCGAACAGGGAAGCGGTGACACGTGTCACCTGAGATTAGCTTCAGGCGAAGCATTCGGATCCCCGAGGCATTAAAGGATCGTCATTTTTGTAACGTGCTCATCTCATTTTTGTGGAAAACACGTCCACACACTTCAGAATTCAAAATAGCAGTGGGAGCGTTTTGACTGGGGGCCTGCAGGGTTTTGGAGGCGAGCCCTCCCCGGCTTGTGGATGTGCTGGTGGTGGGGCTTGTGTGGGGCCGGAGGATGGGGAGCGAGCTGTTCACGTGGGTTTATTTGACGGGGATTCGTGGAGCACCCACCTCTGTGCCACGCTTGTGCTGGGCGTGGGCGGGGCCTGGGGGAAACAGATGATGACGGGGGCTTCTGGCCTGGGTGGGGGAAGGGAAGCACAGGGTGTCTGGGGACGGCATGGAGGGCTGATGTCCTCCTTTGGGGCCCTGCAGGTCCTCTGCATGGACGAGTACAAGCTGAGTCATCTGGAGGAGGAGCAGCTGCTTCTGGTGGTGACCAGCACGTTTGGGAATGGAGACTCCCCCGGCAATGGAGAGGTGGGTGGCCTGGGTCCCAGTGGTCGGGGGTGCCAGGGCCCGAGGGGGCCAAGGAAAGGATCTGGGTGATTCAGCATGTCCTACGGAGGACATTTGGAAGTGAGTGCTCAGATCACTCTGGGCTGCCCTAACCCCAGCATTTGGCTGCCTTCTTTGTAATTATCACCATATGTATGTGACCCCTTTCCTAGGACATACTTTATATTTTTAAGTAAGTTGACCCACCTTTTTTAAACTCAAAAATTAATGTGTAAGGGAAACTTTGTATCATCCTCACAGATGGAAAGCCGACAAAAAATAAATCCAATGAAAGCCACAGTTCTTGAATTTTTGCTAGACACTGTTGCCTGAGCATGGCTTGCTTTGTTTTTTTAAAATGAGCAATGGCCGAGTATTAGAGGTCTTCGGGCTCCAGTAGCTCCAAGCTGAGACTCTCCCTAGTTTTTGTAAAGACGGTAATAATTATAGAAACAGGAATAACTAAAAAAAAAATTACAAAAAAGAGAATACTGTCTTACCATATGATTTGACACTATTTCATATTTCACCTAAAATTATCTTGAGTTCCTTGGAAATCAGGGTTATCTTAGAGAGTACGGCACCAGTTGTCATTCTTACCAGGTTCCAAACAGGAAAAGAGGCTTATGCTCCATTAGGAGACCCCCTGGAGATGCCGGGCCCTCTCTCTACCAGAGCTGGATGGGGCTGGGCTATTCGGGGCTACAGGCCCACATGAGTTACTAAGGCTGAACTGGTCCTTGAGCCCCAGCCAGTTGGCCCCACACATAAACTGACTTCCGTTTGTGGATCCTGAACCTTCTTCTGACAGATGTGGCCAGTTTTGAAGTGGGCCACCAGAAGAAAAGTAAAAGCAGTGCTTTTATGAATCTTGTCCTGAGAACTCAGTGGTTCTCTCTCTTTCTAGAAACTGAAAAAATCTCTCTTCATGCTGAAAGAGCTTACCAACAAGTTCAGGTAAGGCTTTTCCCCACTCACACTTGTCCAAGCCCTGCCTTATGGACCTAAGGGTTCTGGGACCTGGGTTCCAGGGAGGGTACTGGTTGTGTGTAAGGGGGGGGGTCTCGTCCAAGATGTCCAGGCACAATGAGAGCCTGTCCTCAGAGTGTGTCAAGGGTCAAACCGGGGAAACTAAGTCCCTCTCATAGGTCTGCAAGCTGAGCATGGGATTGGTCACGGGAGTTGGTGACAATTGTGGCTTGGGAGCTGGAGAGGACCTGAAGATGGCGTGCACTGACCGGTCCTGTGCCCAGCTGGAGTGGGGGTGTCTGAGGCTGGTTTACAGGCCGGTCGTGCTACGTGATGCTTGCAGGGGTGAGCTCACTCCAGTCTCCATGTGTGTGTCCTCCTCGGGCAGGTATGCTGTGTTCGGCCTCGGCTCCAGCATGTACCCTCAGTTCTGTGCCTTTGCTCATGACATCGACCAGAAGCTGTCCCATCTGGGGGCCTCTCAGCTCGCCCCAACAGGGGAGGGGGACGAGCTCAGTGGACAGGAGGAAGCCTTCCGCAGCTGGGCCGTGCAAACCTTCAAGGTCAGTTCTTAGCTGGAGCTGCCCCCTCAGCAGGGACAGGGAGGCCACAGCCCATTCCTGTCCAGGACTTCTGTGCCGGGCATCCTGGGTAGCCTGACCCCCGCCTGGTCCTACAGGCACGGTCCTAGGTGTAGCCTGAGGGCTCAGGTCACTGCTGCTCTCCCTCAGCTCCCCCAGAACTCCACTTGAAGCATGCATCCCTGGGTAGGAGAAGAGGGCTGAGACACCTCCCATCCTCCAGGAACTTTGGTTTAAGATCTTTCCCCCTCTGATTACCCAGGTCACCCCTCGATGACTTTGCCTTGTTTCAGTCTCCCAGACACAGAGAGCCTGGGGACAGGGACCATGCAGTGGAGTCTCTGGACCTGTGTCAGAATCTCAGTAGGGCTTCGCTGCCTGTGGCCTGACGCCCCTGATTTAAAGAACTCCTTATTGGGGCACCTGGGTCGCTCAGTCAGTTAAGTGTCCAACTCTGGATTTCAGCTCAGGTCATGATCTCGGGGTCATGGGATTGAGCCCCATTTTGGGCTCTGTGCTCAGCAGGGCATCTGCTTGGGATTCTCTCTCTCCCTCTGCCCCTCCCTGCACTCGCTCTCTCTCTCTCTCAAATAAATAAAATCTTAAAGAAAAACAAACAAACTCCTCGTGTAAGCAGAGCATTTCACCCAGCAGCGGTACTTAAAGCACCAGCTTGAGTCGGGGCAGACCTGGTTGCCAGGCCCACACCGCCTGCATGTGACTCCACACCAGGAGCATGGGAGTTATCCAACCTCAGGGGGTGGGCATGTGGGTAAAGTGAGATCCTGTCAATATTAACATCCCTGTGAATAGTAGTAGCAACTGTGTGCCCAGCCCGGCCACCTCTTTGAGTCCTCACAGCGGCCCCGTCTGACCCACGTGCTTAGTAATTACAGGAAGCACTTCACCGATCTGTAAGGACCTACAAAATGGTGGCCCCATTGATGGGGATGACGTCGTTGAGGATGACAGTGACCGTGGTTAACACCGGTCTGCTCCCTCTTCTTCCAGGCGGCCTGTGAGACGTTCAATGTGCGAGGCAAACACAGCATTCAGATCCCCAAGCTCTACACCTGCAATGTGACCTGGGACCCACAGCACTACAGGCTCGTGCAGGACTCGCGGCCTCTGGACCTCAACAAAGGTACCTTATGCGTCGCACTGCATGGGCCCTTCCTGCCGGGGTGGAGGTCTCTGCGCCCTGAGTCTGTGGTCGAGGAGACCACTAGGACCCTCTGAACAGAGGCAGCTGGCCTAGGGCTGCCAGGCTCTCTCTCTTGTTGGATCCGAGAGCCTGCTGGGGTGCGAGGCAGGAGAGCTTGCTTCATCTCTGAGGGAGGCTGTTTCAGGAGGAAGCCCCGGGCGGGTGGTAGAAGAAAGGGGAGCCAGCACCGACTGACGGCCTCCTGTGTGCCAGGCACTGGGCTGCGCTCCTCGCCCGCCCACTCTAAGTGAGCCCTGACATTCATCTTGCAAGAAGGGCCCAAGGACCTGGGCGCCTGGCTGGCTCAGCTGGTGGGGGCATCCTACTCTTGATCTCCGGGTCGTGAGTTTGAGTCCCATGTTGGGTGCAAAGAATACTTAAAAAAAGGGGGGCACAAAGAAATGAAAGCTTGGGGAGGTGAAGCAGGTTGCTAGCATGTGGCCAGGCTGGGATTTGAGCCCCAGCCGTCCAGCTCTGACAGCAGCCAAGTATTGTAAAAAACATCTTGTGGAGGCAATCCCAGGCTGCTCGACGGTGGCTTCTGGACGCTGGGCCTCCATGATTCCTCTTTTCTTGTACCATGAGTACAGGAGTTGTGTAGCTTTCTGCGTGTTTAGGGTACCCCCAAGCTCAACTATGCTCTCCCACAGATGCCAGGCCATGGGGATGGCCTAGAAATGCCCCTCTTTGGGCACCTAATGCATTCCCCCTCCCCACCTAGCAGCAGCACAAACACCCCTGTTAGACCAAGTGTCTTTATTTGTGATTTAGAAACATGGCAGGGAAACAGCAAAAGAAAACTCTATCCCACCATCACAGCGGGACACCCCAGGGGTAGTGTCCAGGCATAACTGACTCAGACTCGGGGAGGCTGACCCCCACCAATGCTTAAGAGCCACTCTGCCACTTCATCCTCTCTGTCCCCCACAGCCCTCAGCAGTATGCACGCCAAGAACGTGTTCACCCTGAGGCTCAAATCACAACGGAATCTACAGAGTCCCCAATCCAGGTAGGGGTGATGTCCCACAGGTTTAATATAATGAAGGAAAGACCAGAGCAAGTCAGTCTTTGAAAGGAGAGAAGTGTGCACTGGCATTAGCCATGATGTCATGGGTAGGACCGACTTGGCCGGTAACCCCTGTGATCTCTGGTGCCTTTAGGTCTGGTCTCCATTAACCGTGGGCCAGTTTTCCAGCTTAAGAACTAGGCACCTGCTTTACTACCCGTCCTTTGTCACTAAACCCTTTCACCAAAGGTGGAGGGCGGGCAAAGAGAAACTCAAACCATTTGGCTCTTTCTTAAGAACTTCCAAGAAAATTTTTGGCAGGGAAGGACATTTCCCCGTCAGGAGAAACGAGTGTTAGGAATTCCCTGTTGGTTTTGTTTGTCTGTGCTGTCCTCCCCCATTCATTAGGAAAACTGGGCTTTGTTCTAATAAGAGCCAGATTTGTGCTGGGGACAAGGAAGTGTTTGTTCTAATGCCCACAGATCTCCAAGGGGGATGCTCTCTTTAGGTGGAGGGTGTGGTCAAGCCCAGGTGGGCTCGGGAGTACTGCCCAGGGAGGGGGCTGCCCACCCTCTCCCCACAGAGAAACCCCAGGCCCAGTGGGCACCAGGCCCTCTTGAGCACCCTAGCTCCAGGGGATGCCAGCAACCCGACCCGACCCGTGCTCACTGAACTGAGAAGGAAAATGAAAAGAGGGCACATTTCCTGGGGAAGTTGGCCCGCCCATCAGGGAGCTCGGGAGGAAATCCTGGTGGCGTCACCAGAGGCTTCTTTTTCCCTTCTCCAGCCGCACCACCCTCCTGGTGGAGCTTTCCTGTGAGGACAGCTGCGGGCTGAGCTACATGCCCGGAGAGCACCTCGGGGTTTGCCCGGGCAACCAGCCAGCCCTGGTGCGAGGCATCTTGGAGCGAGTGGTAGATGGCCCTGCACCCCACCAGCCTGTGCACCTGGAGACGCTCAGTGAGAGTGGTAAGATCTCTGCACGGTGGCCCTAGCATCCCACCCCCCTCTCCCCACCCCGGCAGCCCCCCAACTCCGCTGATGGGCTGGTCCCATCCCTGTGCTGTGGGCTCCTAACCCTATCCTTCCTGCTGAGTGGGGGGACCACCCAAGCCCACGCTGATGCGATTTGGCCAACAGAAGGGATGCTTCTTTGGGGCTCTCCCCAACCCCAGAGGCTGGGGAGTCTCTTTCCCTTCATTCTTTTGCTCACTCAGCTACTTTTTTGTTAATGGATGGATTCATTTATTTTTGCATCAAAATTTTAACCAGTTGGTCGCATCTATATACTAGGCAGGCCCTGGGCTACAAAAATGAATGAGACTCAGTGTCCACACTCAGAAAGCTCACTACCTAGTACAGGAGGCAGATAGGCAAGAGTATTCTTCTTCTTCTTCTTCTTCATCATCATCATCATCATCATAGTAGCAGCTGGTATTCATTGGGTAATTACTAGATGCCAGCATTTTATAGACTTTGTCTCTTCAGGCCCCACAATAAACATGTGTGTGCACTTTGCCTGATGACATAATGGAGAGATGTGGGAACAGTGTAAAAATGCTGCGCTTTGAAGGTTAGAGTCCCTGAGCCATCAGGGACTAGCATTACTAGCTGCGTGACCTTGGGCCTATAAGTCAACCTCTCGAAGCTTTATTTCTTTGTCTCTAAAATGGAGATAAGAGAGCCTTCCTCATAAGGTTGTAGTAAAGACCAAATGAGTAGATGCACATGCAACCTTCACCACAATTCCTGGCACCAAATAAATGCAGGAATGGAGGAATGTCCATTTCCTACAGGCTAATGAACATTTGTCCAGAAGCTCAGAGAAGGGGGAGTCTCCTTGGATTCCAAAGTGCATAACCCCCTTGCATGTTCAAGGTATTCTAACCTCACCCACTGAGGGTCTTATTTATCCCCACCTCACTTGGCCAGTGGGCAGGGGCACACTGTGGGTGACCAGGAGAGTGAGACTCCTCCTGGCCATCCTCACTTGGGAAAAGACGCTGTCCTGGGGGGGCCTGGAGCACCCCCTTCCCGTGCTATGGTGAGGCCCAATCTATGTGGGGAGCACAGCACAGTGGCGATAGGTACTAGGAGAGATAAGCTAACGAAATCAACCATCATGAGCCTCCCAGCCCATAGGAATAGCTCTCTAGCCTTAGTGATAATCTTGCCTCCAAAGAATGTGTACCCCTAAAGAGAGTGGCCACATTAGGAAAGTGGGGGTCAGAGAAGCAAAGTACAGCATTGTCTCCCACTGTCCGGAGAAATGTGAGCGAGGAGACAGAGATGGCCTTGTGACTGTAGGAAGACAGATGTGGTTCATTCAGGCCTTGGGTCTGGATGAAATAACGTAATAGTAATATTTTTACCTAATGTTTATTGAGCATGTGTGTACCAGACACTGTACTATTATATATACACCATTCTGTTCAATGCTCATACAAACCCAGGGAGACAGGTTTTGTTATCACATCCGTTTTATAGAGATAGAACCCAAGGCTCAGAGGGTTTAATCACCTAGCTATTAAGTGAGGAACCAGAGTTCAAACCCATGTCTGCTGGCTCCAGGGTCCACACTGTGACCACCCTGCATACTGACTCTTGGGACTCCCTGGGACTTGACACTTCGGGCTGATCTGCTGGTCACCCAGTACCTGTTGGTATAGCCCCAGGGGAATGTAGTCATGGGCTTTTCTCTAAATGAATAACTGGCCTCTGGGGTGTGTATCAGTCTTTGGTGAATTTAGTCACTGTGAGTCTGTAGTTCACCTATGGGTGAACCAGAGGGGGACTGAACTCTTGTGCATAGTTGATTTTCCAGGATCATGTCAACTTGGGTGCCCTTTGGAGGGCTGTTGATCGGCCCTCCCTGGCAGCCCTACCTCTGGGCACATGAACACTTTCACAGTTCCTGGAGCTAGAAAGTCAATGTCTCTCCCCTGCAGCTGTAGGGTGGAGGGTGTCTTCCCCAAAGGCCTCATTACCCTTCAGGAAACTGAAATAGGGCCTTTTTGTCATTCTGACTCCTTTTTTTCCCTGTCCAGGAAGCTATTGGGTCAGAGACAAGCGGCTGCCCCCGTGCTCACTCAGCCAGGCCCTCACCTACTTCCTGGACATCACCACCCCCCCTACCCAGGTGCTGCTCCGAAGGCTGGCACACCTGGCCACGGAAGAGGCCGAGAGGCAGAGGCTGAAGACCCTGTGCCAGGTGAAGGTTGGGCCAGTGGGTGAAGGAAGGGCAGGGTCCCAGAGTCAGGGGGAGCCAGAACCCAGAGCTGGTCTTTAACCTCCAAGGGGGAATCCGACCCAGCTTCTCAAAGCGAGACTTGTCAAAGCTGGTGGGAAGTCAGTGTCCTCTCCCATACCATCTCTAGGACACAGTTGTGTTGAGTGAACTGAACTTTTCTGAGTGTCTGCAGGATGCTACCAAAGCATACTTTGTTAGAAATTACCTAGAAAAGGAGAGCCACTGTGTCTTGTCTTTGTGTATTCCCCAGACCTGGCATAAGCATGGAACTTAGGAAGTGCTGGAGGATGGATGGTGAGGATGAATGGAGACGTGGACACGAGAGGATGCATTAACTCACTGGCAACTTTCTAGGCCCATGCTTTTGCAAAAGGCACTGGATGGCATCATTGCCATCATCTTTCTCACTAATTATCTTGATTCCAGCCGTTATCCTGTGGCTGCAGTGTACTAACTCTGCACACATGCTCTCATTTCGTTCTCATGACGTTCCCATGAGGGAGGTGATGCTATCCTCACGTCACAAATTTTAAGGGATTGGGACAAGATCCCACAGCTAGTAAGGGCACCCAGTCAAGATTCGAACCCAGGTCTGTATAATTCCAAAGCCCTGTCCAAAATTAGATTATAATAAAGATTTGACTCCTGCCCACCAGTGGCTGACGGTGGAGGTCTGAGCACACGAATTAGATAAATGCTACTCACGGGCCTGAGTGCTTCCAGGAAAGGCACCCTTTTCTCTCCAGCACCCTGGACAGCACCTGGCTCTAGGACGTGTTGGTTGGAACCATCGTGTGAATGAATGAATGAATGCTGGATTGTGACAGCCTCCTGCCTCCGTGTGAGCACGTGCCTTGAGTCACTCACACTGCTCTTGGCTTTCAGCCCTCAGAATACAACAAGTGGAAGTTCACCAACAGCCCCACATTCCTGGAGGTGCTAGAGGAGTTCCCATCCCTGCGGGTGTCTGCTGGCTTCCTACTCTCCCAGCTCCCTATTCTGAAACCCCGGTACTACTCCATCAGCTCCTCCAGGGACCGCACACCCACGGAGGTCCACCTCACGGTGGCTGTGCTCACGTACCGCACCCGAGGTAAGGCTTGGCAGAGACTTTGGAGCAGAGTCCAACACTGCTACTTACTGGGCAGCAGTTCAACATCTCTGAGCTGTGGTCTCCTTGTCAGTTAAAAACCCACCTCCCAGGGGCGCCTGGGTGGCTCAGTCGTTAAGTGTCTGCCTTCCGCTCAGGTCATGATCCCAGGGTCCTGGGATCGAGCCCC